CCAAATGCTGACACCTTCCCTACCCCAAGTTGCCCGTGTATATTTAGGTGCTCCTCCTGTGCCTCTGACCAAGAAGCTTGGCTGTAGCAACGAGCTTTCACCAGCAAATTACAAAGTTAGACCCCGGCCCAGACTAATGAGGGTACTCAGGCACAGCCACATTTATGGGAGAGCAGCATTTGCATGGGGAAAGCGGGCAGATTCTGGGTTCAAATCCCAGTTCCACGGCTTACCACATGTGATCATGGGCCCACAGCATACCTCTCTGAGCCTCAGTTTCTTTATCTGTCACAACACCCCGATGGTCATTTTTTGTATGTTTTAGGGGTTTAAAGGAGGTAAGGGATGGAAAGCCCCTTGCCTCATGCTTAGCTCACTGTAGGCATTGGATCTGAGAAGAAACTGGGTCAGGAAGGAGCAGGACATCTGTTCTCACGTTATAGTTCACATCTCAATCACCTGGAAAGGTAAGTCAAATGCAGAGCAGGATGCAGCAAGCCTGACTGTGCCCCTGGTATCTGCATCTTTAGCAAGTGTTCCCTGCCCAGAGGTCTTTGTTGCAGGTAGCTGGGGTCAGTGCACTTGGAGAAATACAGGATCCAAGGGCAAGAACAGAGGAGGGGAGGGCACAGATAGCTGGGCCACCACAGCAGTGCGGCCTCTGAGGACCTTAGCTTCCCTCTTGCTGGAAGCTTCTGCAGTGACCGTCTCAGGAGGATCCAACCTGGATTTATGTTCCAGAAAGGATGCAAGTAATTTCTGTTTGTTTGATCTTTGATCACATTTAGAACAGTAGTGGATACATTTTTCTCACTTGGATAATGCAAAAATCCAATAATGTACATATTATAATAGTTCAAATTTAGCTGGCTCTTCCCATGAGCCCCGCAGTACTTTGTCTGTGCTAATAAATACAAAGTGAAATCATTCTCCCCATCTCACAGGTGAGGAAACTGAGGCCCAGAGAGGTAAAGTGACCTGCCCAAGGTCACATGGCCTAAGCGAAGGGATTTAAGCCCAGGCAGGCTGGGATTCCACAGCTATACAATATGCCATGGCCCCTTTAGGATATCACTTTGGGGTACTGTAAGGGCATTATAGGTTGTGGTCTCTGGCAGGTGCCCGTGCTTCCAAGCAAGGGGCTGAGGTCCTGGGCAGGACTAGGTGGGGTGAAGTGTGAGGGGGTCAGCCCCCCACCGGGCCTCTGACTCACCAGGCCCCTTGGCCACCACCTGGGAAATCCATGACTCCCAGCTGCATGGGGATGGGAAAGGCTCCCGGAGCCCCAGTGGCTCCATTCAGTTCACAGCCAAGGCCTGTTCACACACTCAGGCTGTGTGACCTTGAGCAAGGTGCTCCACTCTCTGAATCTGGGGGCTGCTGGGAACAATGTGAGACAGGGTTCTACTGCATGCCCAGCAGAGTGCCCAGCATGCAGACAGAGCACTTCCTGTTATCATTCAGTGGTACTGATGCAGCTGTGGTGATGTAACCTGGGTTTTCTACACCATCCCGATTCCATGCAGAGGGTGGACGTGCACAGCTGGTGCTTCTCTCTGCCCAGCAGCCATTCCCCCTTCTTCCCCGAAAAGCACCTCCATTTTCACTTGAACCGATGACTTTTGTTTCTGTAACTTGTAGCTGGACTCATTCCAAGAGGAAGTTGGAAACTTACATTTATTGAGTGCCAGCGATGTCCTAGGCACTGCGCATGATTCATTTAATCCCCAGGACAAGCCTGTAAAGCAGGTACCAACACTCCATTTGTAGATGTGGAAACCGAAGCTCAGAGAGGTTTAGTAACTTGTGCAATGTCACAGATCTGGGACACAGATCTGATGCCCCAGCCCAGCCCATATTTTAAATGAGTTAGCCATTACATTTATAACTGTGATTGACTTTTCTAGGAGGGGCATTCATTCACTCAATAGATACTTACTGAGAGCCTACTATGTGCCAGGCATGATGCTAGGCCCTATGGATAAGAACCCCACAGACAAGTCCCTGCCCTCAGGGAGTGCCCATTCCAGATGGCACAGAGGTTTCATCTCACAGGCCAAATTCAGGTGGCACTAGCTACCTGCAACATTACTGTGAGAGAATTCTGAGCCACCTCTGGGCTCAGCAG